CTCATGTGTAATATTCAGTTGAACTTTTTGCTATACTTTTTGCACTTTCCTACAATGTTTGTCCTTTTTTTATATAAATAAAAAGGCTTCTAATATACTAAATACTGAAAATTTAAGAACCTATAACTTTAAGGCTCAGCTGTTACTTTGACTTTAAGCGAGGCTTAAAGCTCTCTCTGTCTCTATCTCTTTAGACTTTAAAATGAGACAAAGAATTTTAAGTCTTAAAATTAAATAAGTCTCAAAATACACAATATTGATGCAACCAAACCTAAGTGACTTTATCATCATTAATTCTTTCATAAATCATTAATTTTTTAAATTTATTTTATATATGCTGATTTTTTTGCTTTCTTTAACATATGGACATTATATGTATACATTTTATTTTATAAAAGTTTAATATCTTTAAATAAAGGTACAAAAAAAATAAACATGTTTAGTTTAATTTTTTAATATAATTTTTGCTTCAAATAAATAATTATCAAAATAATGTTAGACATTTATATACATATTTATTAAATATAAAATATTTAATTAATTATACCTCATGTATGTCTATAAAAATGCATAATTACTGTACTTTATTGATATAAATATAGATTATTTAATATATATATAAAGTACTTAATAATTTAAAGTTAACAATTCTATGTATAGATGATTCTTATTAAAATATCCAGATTTTGCTTAAAACTATATAATTATATTATGCATCATACATAACTATATGATATATATACATTTTTTCAATTTTTAATTTTTAGGTTAAGTTTTGTACATGAAAATATAAAATTGACCAGCAGTTTTTTCAGATACTTGCTTTATACGGGTATTATTTGTTATGCTTCAGGTGTGGCTGATGGTGTAGGAGGATGGCGATACTACGGAATTGATCCAGGAGAGTTTTCTAATTTCTTAATGAGAACGTGTGAAAGACTAGTCTCCATGGGTAGATTCACACCTACAGAACCAGCTGGTTTATTAGCACGTAGTTACTATGAATTGTTAGAAAATAAACAACCAATATTAGGTAAACAACTTTTGCTTTCAGTAAAAAAATTAGAAATAAAAGTATTCAGAAATGTAGTTCTAAAATTATTTTATATATTGATTATCTTTTTGGCATATAGGTAGCAGTACCGCGTGCGTAATAATTCTCAATAAAGAAACGAGCAGCATTTACGCAGCCAATATAGGAGATAGCGGTTTTGTAGTCGTACGAAGGGGAGAAGTAGTACATCGGTCCTCAGAGCAACAACATTACTTCAATACTCCTTTCCAGTTGTCATTGCCACCTCCAGGACACTCTGATCTAGTACTTCGCGACAGGTAGATTATTTATTATTGTATATATATATATTGATATATTCTGCTTATATCTATATATCTTATATATGTATCTGTATATTTTTATATATTTATGTTATATATGAGAGTGTTGTGAAAAGTTATTTTTTAAGAGGTTACACTAGTGTAAAATTTAAAAAAAAATCGAAAAAATTTGTTTGGTTTTAAAAGTAGTTTGAAATCTGTAAAATATAGGAACAAAAGGTTTTAAGTATAAATTCGAGTTAATTTCTGAGTTACAGAGCCTACAAAATTTGCACTATATGATATAAAGATGTTGTAGAATTTTAAATGAGTTTTTTTTGAAATCTTGTTTTTCAAAACGGTGTCGAAGATTTCTCAGGATGTACATCAAATTGACTTGAATTTTGGTTTTTTATTATCCTTATTATAGTATTCTTTAAGCATTGACCGAAGATTTTTATCATCAATATCATTATTTTGCAAGATACTAATAAATTAGTTAACAATATTTGTGCCAAAAGTCAAATCAAAAGTTAAAAAAAATTTTTTTAATCAAATTTTAATAAATTTTGAATAAGCTTGGTCAATACTTAGGGAATACAAATACACTTCACAAATACACTTTTTTTTGTTTTTATTTTATATGATACAATATGGCGGAAGCATCGACTGATGCGAAAAAAATTGATCTTTCGTAATATTTTAATAAATGGTGTTAAGATTATTACTTTTTCCTTTCATTTTGCATATTTTATACCTTCAATGTATACTTGAATAAGGTACTAAAACACAAGTCTGCAGCTTTTTTATTTCTTCGGTAATCCACACTTAAAAATTATCTATTTTTATGCTCACACCGGTCTAACCCCTTAATAATTATATTTCCTTTCTTTTCAGTCCAGAATCCGCCGACACTTCGAGTTTTGGTGTCGAGGATGGCGATGTGATCCTTCTGGCAACCGACGGAGTATTTGATAATGTGCCTGACCAGTTGCTAGTCACAGAGATGCGTAAAATTGAAGGCGAAAGAGATCCAACGAAAATACAGTGCGTCGCTAACACGATAGCATGGATGGCACGTCGTTTAGCTTTTGATGCTGCCTTCATGTCTCCGTTTGCTCAAAATGCCCGTGAGAATGGGATCGATGCAATAGGTATGTAAAAAAAAAGTATTAATTGTTTATGCCGTATTTTAAGTAGCATTTTTCGATAACAAAAAAACCGCTTTCTATAAAAATATCTTTAAAAGTTATAAAAGAAAGTTGTCATACAATTTCTCATTATCTCTCCTCTTCTCCTTCTCTTCCCTTTCTCTCATAGAAGAAATTTAATATTGAATGAAAATTACTTTTATTCATTGCACTTGGACTTAATTCATTAATATAAATAAATAAATGTAAAAAGTTTAAATTAAAAAAAAAGACATTTAATAAAAAAGCATGGAAAGATAGATTTTTAATCTTTCAGGTGGTAAACCAGACGACATCACGGTGCTTTTAGCAACAGTGGCGATATGATAAAAACAATAAGAAACAAGTGTACAATAGAGCCCTGATGATCATTGTATTATAGTCCATGTCATTGCGTATATGTATTTAGTTATACATCATTATATTAATCCTATTACACTAATCATTTATTATTTAAATCGAAATAAATGGTTTTATAAAATCATTTCTTATACTATTCATTATTATTTTCTTTACAATTCTTTGATAATTCTTAACTATTAAATTCAAGGAATACATTGTGCAAAGGAAAAACATCTTATGATCCTGGAAGCCAAAGATATAAGAAAAGATAAATATGTGCAAATTTAATAGCGTTTTTCGTTGGCAGAACTGGTGCACATTAAAGCTGTTATACATTAACCTAATCTGATATCTCAATTAATAAAATACTCAATGTATATTTTATCAAATACCACAATAAAATGTAATGAGAATTTCGCGTAATTTAATTCATTTCTATATTTTTATTAAACGTACATTTTTATGTCGATTTGTGTACGGCTTTAAAGTGCACTGAGTGCATATCAGCTCTGCCAGTGAAAAACGCTATAAGAAATTAAAACGATATAGTTTAAAGGATTTAAAATCCCTAAGAATCTTAGAAATTGAAATTATTAGAACTATTAGAACAACGATAATTATTCCTCGCAATCGTGCGGGAGTCCAAATTTCTTATTTCTTTGCTTAAATCAATCCACTATAAAATATATTTGCATTAACATTCAGAGGTGACCTATGTTAAAAATTCACAACTGTTTAGCTTAAGATAACTCATAACTGCACATAACACTCACGAGAATCACAGAAAAGTTTAAATTATATCCAAGCTAATTATTAATCGTACTTGGAAAAAATAATCCACCTTTCCTAAATGAGAGAAAAAAATTTCAAGATGCAAAATTACACTAAAACTTAACTCACACTTTAAACAATTCTTTGTATAGTAATTGACTATATAATAGATTAGTCCTAGAAAAAAAACATTACCTTTCCATCATTCTCGTAATGAAAAGGTAACGAAAAAACGAAGCGACAGTTATTAACTATCAATGCAAAATCTCCGTTGTATTCATATAGTACATAATATACACGTATGAACAAAGTGTAGGAAGTGTATATATATATATATATATATTATTTTTTCAGTTTATATTTAACGATTTGTACTTTGTAGATGTTATCTATAAATTACACTTCGCTACGATAATAAATATAAATAAATGTTTTAGTATAATTTAAAATAGTCTCCTTGTCACAATGGCATTGTTTTTCTTTCTTTCTTCCATCGATACTTGCAAGAACTATGAGCACGATTAGTATATCACAAAATTACCACCGATCGCAAATATCTTACAAAAGTGACATTTTCAATATAATAAATCTAATTAATTCGCGAGTGGAAAATTACAATTCCCGTGTTGAACCGGAAGTTTATTTTCTAGCGACAGATAGAGGTATAACTCTCGGAATGCTAATTCAGTTGCACTCGCGTATATTAAAATTTTATTTCTATCGAATTAGAGAATTTTAAATTCTGCGGCAGATATAAATCTGCGGGATACGACAAACTTTAATATTTATTATTATTAAAACATTTTCGGTACATATGTTTAGAATGAAATAAGCTACTATATACGACATTAGGATCGTAAAATAGCTTATAGATTGAAATATCTAATAACAAAATTACTAATCTTACAATTTAACTCATTTCAAACTTAATGAAGAACCTATGGTTGAAAAACAAAATAAAGTTTGCGACATTCTATTCGCGGTATTCTGAATAAAACAATTTAATTCATATTTTCTGCAATAGTACTAGAAGCGCAACACTTGGTTTCCAAAGCTAACATCAATAGAATCTGGATTTTGTACAAGTAAAACACATATGAATGTGTAAATGGAATTTAGGGAAATCAATAAAGTTAATTGATTATTTAAGTGCGTTTTTCTGTAGCTTCTTCGACTATATGCAGAGTGTATAAATATTCGCGCGTTTTCTCATGTCTACAAATTCCTTGAGAAGTTAACAATTATATATAGATACTATAAGGGTTTAAAAATTTAAAAAAATAATAAATATAAAAGAAAGACCAATACTTGGTTTGTAGCTCTTTCTTTTATATTTATTAATTCCTTGAAAAGTTTGATTTTCCTTCAATGGCAATTTGATTATTATTGAAGATTATTAATCGCAATCTTTAAGTAAAATCTTATATAGGTATCGAATTTTTATAAAAAAAATATTAGCTTATGCTTTTATTATGTTTTTCGAAAGATCTTTAATGAAATGAAATCGCTCGATCTCTTATACACCCTATACATATATTATCTTTTACGTGTTTCTCGTTATACATCTTTGCACACAAACCCAGGCACTAAAAATTGTTATACATAATTCGAAAGGAACAATGATAGCAATGTTCTCGGATAATTTAACGCAAGAAACAGCATTAAGAAGAGAATGCTGAATTTTTCGATTATTGTACATTGGCTTCTTGTCCCCAATTGAAGCCGCCTGGCCGGTCTTCTGGTGGTGGCATATAATCTGGATCCTCAGGATATGCATCAAACAAAGTCTTTCTAAGAAAGAAAAATTATATTATTTTTCTCATCATATCATATAATAGTCTATCGTTTATTTATCGCCATCCGACTTTTGAGATATTTCTCGCTAAAGGAAGCTGAATAAAATTATCGGATTTTCTATTAGATTAGCTTGAAATTAACGATTGCAAGTGATTTAGCACATCGAATGTATGAAAGAAACATACATAAAAAAAGTTTCATTGCTTAGGCTATTATTAGCTATTAGCTATTTTACGCAATGTCCTAGACAATGAATAAAATAGATTAATTTTGATCAAAGTAATGGAATCTTTTTTATGGTTTTTTTGGAATCTTTCTACCTGGTTATTTTTTTTTTTTTTTGATATTAAATCATTTGTAAACGTTAATTTCAAATTAAATTGACGGGAAAATATTGAAAATATTGCAATAAAAAACCAGATTTGGATGAAATTATACTACTTTTAATGCGATTTTTAACATGTTTCAGATCAATTTGAAATAAACGTATCCACATGATACAACACTTAAAAAAATACAAGAAAACCGCATAAGAGAGGTTTCATTGTTTAGGCCAAAATCTAGCAATTTCACCCATTCTCTTTTGCTCGACAATTTAATTAATAAAGCTATAATTTTCATTTTAAATAATGATCATAATAATTAGGAATACACTGAATAGTAAAATTATCGAACATCAGATATTGGATATTCAGTAGGGCAATTATCCGATCGGATACCGAATATATTTCCTTGAATATATATATATCTTGGATATCTGGAACAAAACTTCCAAAAAAAAGCAAGGAAAAAGTAGTTATAATAATTTTTTTTATCTTCCCGTGAAAAGAGAAAGAGGAAAAATGAACTGTGCAAGAAATTCAACTAAAAAACATAAATCCAACCGGATAGCCAGATATCATTAATAAATATAAGTACCGGATAATATCGGATACTTCCTGAATATCCTAATAATCATCTCTAATAATATAATCACATAATTTTAATGATCATAATTTTAAACTTAATTTTAATGTTAAGTTTGCTTACAATATTTGAGGAGTTTTTAGAATTCGGAAACCACCTCTTATCCGAGGAAATACATCCTCCGCGAAATAGTAAGTATGCCCTACTGCCATTCCCACAAGATCAACCCATATTGTATTGCCAAGCAATACAGAGAAGCCTAACAGCACCCACGGTAAATACGGAGCCTAAAAAAAAAGTTATGAGTAATTGTAACATAACTATTTATTAAATAGAAGTCAGAATAATAATGCAATAGCTAATTACACAATATTAATAAAACAAAAATAATGTGTGATGTATATTTCCTTAAATTGAACCTACTTGGAAGTTTAAAAGTCCGAAGAAGTTCATCCTGACAAAAGGATTTCGTCGTGACCACACGTACACCAACATTATTGTGAATGCATGCCCCAGGAATAGCAAATTGACGAAGAATGCAAAAGTCTATGAATAGTTAAGGAAACAAGGGCAAAAATATTCTTAAAAAAGATATTTTTTAAATGACAACATTAATAATTATAACTATAATTACCATAATCATAATTATAATTACCATTGTAATTATTACAATCATACTATAAATTACATTACTATAATTATGAACATTATTATACACACAAGTGCTGTTAATTATAATTGTTATTAAGACAAAAAAGTAATTTAATTTAATTGTAATAGAATATTAGTATTCCAATCGATATAATATTATAATATAATATTATATAATATAATATAATAT